ACTCACCTCAGCCTCCCAAAGGCGCGGGATTACAGGCTGAGCCACTGAGCCCAGCTGACCCAGCAATTTTACTCATAGGTATACATCTAAGAGAAATGAAAACAAATGTCCACAGAAAAATTTGTACACACTGCCAGGCGCAGTGGCTCAATCCTATAATCCCAGCACGTTGGGAGGCTGAGGTGAGAGGACTGCCTAAGCCCACGAGTTCAAGACCAGTCTGGGCAATATGGTGAGACCTCATCTCTGTAATAAAAAAATATAAAATAAAAAATTAGCCGGGTGTGGTAGCGTGTGCCTGTGGTTCTAGTTACTTGGAAGACTGAGACGGAAGGATCGCCTGAGATTAGCAGGTTGAGGCTGTGGTGGACGTGAGCGTGCTACTGCACTCCAGTCTGGGAGAGAGTGAGACTCCAACTCAAAAACAAAAAAAATTTTGTACATGAGGCCAGTGCGGTGGCTCATGCATTTTGAGAGGCTTAAGTGGGAGAATTGCTTGAGTCCAGGAGTTCAAGATCAGCCTAAGGAACACAGAGAGACCACATCTCTACAAAACACAAAAAACGTCACTGGTGGTGGTGGCGCTTGCCTGCAGTCCCAGTTACTCAGGAGACAAGGTGGAAGGATCACCTGAACCCAGAAGGTAGAGGCTGCAGTGAGCTGTGATAAAAGCCATGGCACTTCAGCTTGGGTGACAGAGAACCCAACTCAAAAAAACCCCAAAAACTTCTGTATGAATGTTCTTAGCAGTATTCATAAACAGTCAAAAAAATAGAAACAACCCCAATATAAAACTGAATAGATAAAATACAGTGTATCCATACAATGAAGTATTGTTCAGCAATAGAGAAGGATAAAGTACTGATATATGCTATTAACATGGATGAAACTTGAAAATGAATCTTGAAAGAAGCCAGTCACTAAGAACACACTGTATGAATCCATTTATTATAGAAAATATCCAGAAGAGACAAACTCGGAGACAGAAAGTAGACTGGTGGTTGCCTAGGGCAGGGAGTTGGGGGAAAGAAAAATCGGGAATGATGGCTAATGGAATAGTGAGGTTTCTTTTTGGAGGGATGAGATTTTACAACTCTATGAATATACCATAAACCACTGATCATAGTATTTGTAATTCACACTTCAAATGGGTAAATTGTAAGGTATGTGGACATTCCTTTTTTTCTTCTTTTGAGTCAGAGTCTTACTCTGTTGCCCAGGCACGCTGTTCACGGCCACCAAAGCTTCGACCTGCTGGGTTCAGGCAATCCTTCTACCTCAGCCTTCCAAGTAGCTGGAACGACAGGCGAGTGCCACCACGCCCAGTTAATTTTTTGATTTATTGCAGAGATGGGGTCTTGCCAAACTGTCCAGGCTGGTCTCGAACCCGCAGGCTCAGGCAGTCCTCCCACCTCGGCCTCCCAAAGTGCAGGGATTACAGGTGTGAGCCATGGCACCTGGCCGGATTATATTTCAATAAAGCTATTACCTTTTCTAACAAAAAGAGAGAAAAATCTGTAGATTCTTTCCGTTTGGCAGACACTGACAGTCAACCACCAACTCCCACCCTTTCCTCTTAGACAGTTCTCCAATTTTTAGCTATGCACATTTTCTAGTTTGCTGTACCAAGTTCTAGCCTATGTGAGATGAATCAGCAGTATACTGTGGAACTTTCAGGAAGTTGGTCTTAAAGTGACATCACATGTCCTTCCTCCTTTCCTGCTGCTGAAACCTGAATTAAGGGCTGGTTTCTAAGCAGCCATCATGGAAAGTGAGAAAAAGTGCCACAACCTGAGGATGGAGGAATAAAGGTATAAGGATCCTGGATCCCAGGTGATCTTGTGAGAAACTAACTCCCAAGACTGCCTACTTTAACACTTACATAAATAAGAAATAAATGTCATGTTTAAGGTGGTATTTCTCAGGTCTCTGTTACCTGTAGTCAAACAAATCCTAAACAATATACACTCACTGTCAAAACCATATCGTCTAAAGCAGTAGTCTCCAACTTTTTTGACATCAATGAACAGTTTCGTGGAAAATATTTTTTCTATGGATAAGAAGAGGAGGAGGAGGAGGATCATCAGGCATTAGATTCTCATAAGAAACAGGCAACCAGCCAGGCTCGGTGGCTCAGCCTATAATCCCGCGCCTTTGGGGGGCTGACATGAGTGGATTGCCAGAGCCCGCGGGTTCGAGACCTGCCTGGGCAGTGAGACCTCATCTCTACAATAAATCAAAAAATTAG